CCCCAAAACCCCAAAACCCCAAAACCCCAAAACCCCAAAATTTATAGTTGTTATTGAAATTTATTTAAAATACTTCATAACCAAGCTTTCTCTTTCCTTCTTCTGCTTGGGTCTTCTAAGGCATATTCCTGCTGTCCGAGGCTTGTAGTCCATAGCAAGGCTTGAACTATGACTTGACAATTACAGTAAGACTTACCTATAATTATGCAAACTATCAGTTTTGTTAGCACGAACAGATTCTGATTTCTTCTTCCTGTAATTCTTAATTAATTTTCTGATGTTCACAGAATGATCTTGGTCATAATTTTTACTGAAGATTTTCTTAATGATTTTGACCTTTGAGTTAGGGCTCATTAGAGATCTCTGAGTCATATGGATAAGTCGATGTGCTATTGGCAAGAATATCTACATCTTTATCCTCCTTTGAGGGCTCTTTGTGACTAATTTTATTCCCTCCTGATTCCTTTGCTTCTCGATGACACTCCGTTGCCAACATTTTAGAAGTGAAGCCAGGAGATATCAGTTTAGTTTTGAGATTTATTTTTAGTCTCTTGCCGATCTTCCTATAATCAGAAAGAGCTGATTTCAAGCGAGCGCTTTGTGGAATATGAGTCCTCACTTTAGAGCTGCTATAAGAGGTATTACCATTCAGAGTTACTTATTTAGACTTAGGCTCATCTTTCTTCATTGTAGATCTTGTCCTTTTTTATGTGCATATTTTTATATTTGGTAAAAATTTTATTTTTGAGGTGTCTATCCTTAGGTGCAGATTCTGTAACTCTTTGTGGTTTCCTTTCAGAACTTTCTCGTTTAGAAAGGCTCTTGTTTCCAGAATTTTTGTTAGATTTTTTGTTAAGCAAGAATGTTTCTCTACAATTGTCAAAATGTATACTTTTTGCCTGTCTTGTCAATTTCTCTTTTCTTATGAAGAGCTGATTTTGGAGGATTTTTGTATTTTATCACAAGTCCAAGAGAATCTTGTTGCTCCAGCTGGTCTTGATCATACCCTCAGGATAGTCTGTCAGTTTGAGCTTTGATAGTATCGACTAAAGAGAAATCATTATAAATACATACCTTTGATAGATCTTCGCTGTTTCTTGAAGCTGCTACCTTTTTGGTTATATGCTAGTGCAATCATCTTCTTACGAATCCTGTTTACACCAGTCCCCGAATGACTTGAAGGTAAAATGATTTTCTTAACTATTTTTGATGCTAATATACCTTACATAAAGAAACTGGGCCTCTTAATTCGAGCATTTGATGACTCCCAAAATCCAGAGATTTCCTATAAGCATAGATATTGAGGAAGATGTCCAGCCATGCTGACCAAGATCCAAATTTGGGTGTAGATGGTCAGTATAATCCTTAATAATGAGTATAAGTCACAGAATTTTTTAATTTTTCTTAAAAATTACCTAATCCGTTTTTCTCTCCTGCTCATTCTCCTTCGCTTAGGCTTATAACGAGTAGATTGATGTACTTCATTTGGAATATAGTTGAGCACTTCACTTTTCTATAAAAATTCTTGTCTTTATCAAGTGAGTATGTTTCGATTATGATTCAAAGCATGGAATAAACAAGATCTTACTCTTTCTACTGGCTCCATCTCAATTATTATTTCTAAAAATGGGGTTTTGGGGTTTTGGGGTTTTGGGGTTTTGGGGTTTTGGGG